GGGCATTCATCTGCAACGCCGTTTCCCTCTGGGCCCTGCTAAGAGTAGTCTGCTGACTCTGGCAATGCCCGCCTGGGTCCTACCAAGCGGGCGACCCCGTGCCTGGCTCGTTCCCTCCATCCTCTCCGGCTTTTTTCTCCCCGTACCACCCAGTGGGCTTGGGAACTGGGCAGGGGGCCCAACCTGGTCCCTTCACTGAATGCCCGCAGCATAGAAAGCGAGGGGAAGGAGGATAGATTTTTTTTCACAGTGGGAAGAGTTGGCATGAAAAGCGTGAAGAAGGGAGGCGGACAGCTTCACTTGTGGGGGTACGAAACGCATTCTTGGAAAGCGTGAGCAGGTTCTCGAAGGGAATGAAATGAGTGACCCCAGGGAAGAGGCAGGGAAGGGCCCTTGGCCGCTCGCTCGCTTGCTGCACGCCTCCCAGAATACTGAGTGCCAGGGGGAAGAAACAAAGAGGCAACCTCAGGGGGCTGAGGGACGAAGAAGAAGAGCAGAAGAATAATTTGGGCTGGGCAGGAGGGACCCCGCGGAGGCTCCCCCCACTCTCTCGGCACAGATCCATTGTTTCAGGCTGGGCAGCCACCGGGGAAGGGCTTTGCTAGTTGTAAATGAAGAGAACAGGCATTTCCTCTTCCTGGGGAAGGCAGGAGACTACCCGGACTGCTCAGAGGCTGGGTGGCAAGCAGGTGTCCAGAAACACAGGACCCTTGGATGTGTTCCTGACTACATCCGCCAACTTTTTTTGCCTTCTCCTTCCCCCCCCCACCTCTCGGTGCCCTTAGCAGCTGTTGGTTTCAGCTGGTGATCACGCATGGAAAACTCTGCCTGAGAAGACCCCCAGAGCAACAGAGTCACCCTTTCAAAATGTATTTGCCGGAGGACAGAAAGAGCCACGCAAGATGTCAGGAGGCTGTTAGTGAAAACCAGGCAGGATGTTGGGAGGGCTGCAGGCATCAAAGACAGAGACACGCCGATGCCCAGAGGGGGCCGACTAGGTGGGTGCTCTTCTAGCAGCAAAAAAGGCCCCAGGGTGGCAAGCAGGCCCGGATGCTGGGCACACCAGGACTTCTTCCCCTGCCACTTTCCAAGTCAGTCCCAAACGGGTCAGGGAATGGGAGGTGTTAACATGGAGGGCCTCAGTGAAGTAACACACACACACTCCCAAAACCCAGCATACAAACAGAAAAAGTTTCTCATTTGGATTACATTTCCCAGAATCCTTCCAGATGTTGGCTGGGAGACTCTGGGAGTGGTTTTGCAGTAAACAAACAAACAAACCCCATTTTTCCTGGTTCACATGCACACAAATCAACATGGAAGTTTGGGGCTTTATTTCCTCTTTTCCAGGACTACTCTCCTCCCTTTAAAACCAAATCCAAAGGGCACCCTTACCACCATTTTCTTCTTGTTGTTTTGAAACCCATTCCTTAGAAGAAGACAAACAGTTTTACTGCCCAGGCTCAGCTCTTGGGCAAGAAGGAAGCTATTAAGCAGAATATTGAAATAAAAAGAGAACCAGAAAGGGATGGGGCAGGGTTTCTCTTTAATGCAGAACTGCTGAGTTAATATTTCAGTCAATCTGACAAGGGGTTCAGTGCTGGAACCCTTTTTGACAGGCCTAAAAAGTAAGCCACGTGAATCAGGCAACAGGCGGTAGTCAGTGATTTCAGGACAGGCGCGAAACCCCAAGACCTTCAGCAGTAGCCCAGCAGTGGCCCCCCAGGTGCCATGAGTTGGAGGCTCCTCTTCCTTGGCCACCCTCCCATCCTGCCCTCCTTTCTGCCCAGCCTGGTCTCCCCCGTGCAGAGTCACCAGGGAGAAGCTGGGCGGAGGAGGAGAGCCGGATGGCAAGACGGTCGTTGTCATGGTAGCTGCCATTACCCTCATGGTGGACGGAGTCTTGTTCCCAAGCAACAGGCAGAGGAAGACTACGGGTAGTCTTTTAGGGCGAGGGGAGGAAGGGCCGAGGAGAGCAAGGAGCCCAAGGTGCAGATGCTGAGCGAAGGAGGCGGGGAAGGTTGACCAAACACAGGACCCCTAACTCAGCAAACGGTCCGCCTCAAGGCAAGGAGGAGAAGCCTCCAGCCATCATGGCTAAGACGACGGGCTGTGACTTGCCAAAATGTGGCTGGCCATGCACTCCCCTCCTCTGTAGCCACATGCAGGTAAAAAAGGATTAGGCGTCAGGGCTGGGATGTCTTTCTCCATTCCAGCTGGGCGGACATTTCCAATTTGTTCTGTTCCCCTCTGGCGGGGTTAATCACTGAAAACGGGGACTTGCAGAGTAAAGGAGGCCAGGCAGGACACGTGGTGGCGGTGGGGAGAGCAAGAGGAGAAGAAGCCTGCTCAGGTAACAGCTCTTCCAAAAACAGGAGTGTAATATTCAGTGGGTCTGCCTCACCCCCACGGCGGCTGTTCTGGCGAGGAAAGCGCTTGCCCAGTAGAAGCCGGCCGGGGGTCTTGCAGCCCCAGCCTTCCTCGCCTTCAGATGAATCTGGGGTCTCATGGGGCAGAAAGAGACATACAAGAGTGAAACCTAAATCAGAACTGAAACCATGTTACGTGTTGGAGATCCACGACTGGTCCGAACTGCCTGTTGTGCTTGACACACCAATAAGTGAGCTTCTCGTGGCTGCTGGCTGGGAAACAGGAGCCCATCACTTATCTGGAGCCCCAGACACATTAGCCCTGACCTCTGGAGGAACACAAAACAGGCCCTTGAGTCGAGAGAGAGAGAGAGAGAGAGAGAGAGACAACAGATGAGCGCATCCAAACCAAACATACTCTGTACCTGGCTTTGTACTTAGGGTGGGGAGGGTGCCTTTGCGGGTTTGCATTTTCACAGGATGGAAAGAGGAAGGGGCCACTGGAGAGTGTCCCCACTCCAGAGAGAGAGAGAGAGAGAGAGTGCAACAATTGTGGCTATTGTGCGCTGAAATGTAGTGTTGGGGACATAACCGGAGGTGATCGCGCACAAGGAGCCTTCCAGGTTCTCAGAGAGCTCGCAGGGCTGCGTTTGTTCCCTGCGAGGTGCGACACGCGCCAAGGAAAAGCACTAACCTTTGGGTGTCAGAATCCAGTTCACACTCACTCCAGATTTTGTGCCCTGTGCTGAAAAATAACATCCTTGGGCATGAAGATATAATGTGTGTGTGTGCGCACGCGCACCACCACCATTTTTTTTTAAATAACTGAAAAACAAGAATTGAGGTTGGGTGGATTCAAAGCTTCTGCCTTCATCTGACCAAGCCCTGTCAGGAAACCCAGCTGCCCTATTTCGTAAATCCCCAGATAATTAATCACTTGGATTTGAGCAGAATTAACAAGCACCACTAACTGCGAGGAAGCAAAAAAATTCAGGGCATATGCATGTGAAATGTGCAGATCTCTCTCTCTGTGACTGGATCTGAGTCTTCCTGATTGTCATCTTAGAAAAAAAAAAGAAATCAGTGCCTACGTTCCCATCCTCTGCTCCTCTGAGGCCCCACAACCCTGCCAGAAGCTCCCCTTTCTGCCGATAAGGAGCCCATCTAGAAGGAATAAAGTCTGCTTTGGATGTAGAAAAAGCAGCTCTGCCTTTCGGCTTCCTCTAGAAATAACCACACCACCTCATGTCTGCCCCCGTCTGTTCACTGGACTCCCTGCCTCTGAAGCAGGAGGAGGGGGTCCCCTGTTCTCCACCAGATGAGCGATGGGGTCTTGAGTGGCCACAAGACTCCTGGTTGCTTTTCTCGGGGGGGGGCGGGTGTGCTGTCCTGTTTCAGCAGGCATGACAAACATAAACCCAGAAGCTTAAGACAGAGCCCTGGCTATGGGTCATGTCTGTGGGACCCAGGATGCCTAAAGGTGGGGAAGGTCACTCTCAGGCCACCCTCCCCTCAGCAGCCTCTCCGGGCTGTCCCCCCTTTTGTAAGAAGTTCCCATCTTCCCCTATTCTGGAAAGCCCGGCAAGGGGTCAGGGGACATCTCTGCTCCCCAACGGTCATCTCCCACACAGTGGCCTCCTTTTAAAATGGAAATAGGCTCTAATCTCCCTCACCAAGCCATCTAGGTAAACAAGCGGAGGGCAGCGGGGGAGTGGGTGTCGGTGTGTTGCACAGATGCACAACAGGGCCTGCAAACCTCTTAAACGTGGAGGTGCACACGCACGTCCCTGCAGACAACCTGCACAGAGAGGCTCTGGTTTAGTTCAGCCTGGTCTTGACTGGGAGGACAGGAGGCAAGGACCATCCCAACGGCAACAGCAATAACAACCCTGTTTATTCCTCCTTTTTCCAACAACCTGCAGAAAACTCTCAAAGGCACATTACACACTGTCCACTGAGAGAACAAATGCCAACTTCTTGCGGAACAAATGGCAGGAATGGCTGCGCTCAGACATAAAAAAACCAGCCAAGCTGTGTTTTCACAACAGCAAGCAAGGAAGTGGAGTTACCGGAAGTCAGGGGGCCAAGCTGAGTCTCGGGAACGGCGATGCTTCCCCAGGCATCCCAGGTGGAGAGATGGATCTCAGGGTGGGTGGTGCTGCAGGAGGAGGAGGAGGAGGAGGAAGGGTGGTTTTTACTTGGGAGGCTGCTTCGCATCCTAGGCCCTCGTCCCCACCCATTCCCAGTTGGCATCAGGGCTTGCGGGCAAAGCCACTTGCCCGCCCGAGGCCCTCGTGCAAGTTCCGGTGTATGTCAGAAGGGCCCTCGTGCTCTGGAAGCCTCAGGGAGGGGACGGCTGTAGTGCAGGTAGATGCCTCAGTGGAGCAGACTGCTAGTTTACGGAAGAATAAACAGAAGATTAAGGGAACAGCTCCCAGAAGCCTTAGCCCGCACGGGCCATGATCCGGGTGCCTGGGAGTCACAGACCAAGACCACCTGGGGCCCAGCGTGGGACAGGACAGCCTGCTGCCCCCTGTCCAGACTCCTCTCCTCCTGCTCTGAAGGCAGGACAGCCCTGCAGCACAGGGGTCAGTAACCCCCTCCTTTGTTCTTCCCTCCCCCCTCCCCCAGCAGAGATGGCAGAATACAGCAACCTGCTGGAAGAACTGGCCGAGAACATCACCAACGAGGACCTGGACCAGCTGAAGTCGGCCTGCAAAGAGGACATCCCGAGCGAGAAGCACGAGGAGATCGCCACCAGCAAGGAGTGGTTCAGCTTTCTCGAGAAGCACAAGAAACTGGACAAAGGTGGGCCTCCCGCTTTGCCCCTTCCCTTCTGGCTGCTGCCCCCTCCCTGCCTGAGGAGGCTGGTCACACGGGCCAAGGTTATTTCCCCCAGCTGAGCTGTGCACCCCCACCCCCACCCCCCATGGCCTCCTTCCTGATGTGGCTCCCCCCTGGCTCTGCACTGGGTGTGGGGGACCGGCTTCGCAGGGCTGTGGGGATGATCCGCTGGGGAGAGGGAGGAGGAAGAGACACCCTCCGGGAGGCTCTAAGGGCCAACCATCACAAGCGACAGAGACCAGCACATCTGCAGCCAGCAGAGGAAGGCTCCTTCCTCTTTCGCCTGCTCAAGGAGCTTGGCTTCTAATGAGCTGCCACCTCTCCTGGCCTGAGTCTGTAGATCCCCAGGTGCTCGGAGAGCCCGGGTTCAGGGGGTCAGCGGTTCTGTCTCTTAAACACTTGGGGCAGCCGGTGGACATCCTGCCCATCAGGGGAGGGAAGAGGCTCTGGACACCTCAAGAAGCCCATCCATCCCTAAGGCAGAGCCAGCTCCCTCCTGCCCCCCCCTTCCCCTCCTGGTTTCCTTCCTTCCGGAGGAAGGTGAGCGCAGCCCAGCCAAGAGGAATGACTCAGCCCTGCCTGGCAGGCCTGGGGCTTGGGGAAGAGCAGCCAGCCAGCCAGCCAGCCAGCCTGGCCCTGACAGCTCCAGGCAAGGGGAACGGACGGCAGGCAGGCAGGCAGGCAGGCTCCCAGGAGAGTTGGTGACTCAGCGAGGAGGCAGGTTTGCTCCATCGACAACGTTCCCAGACAGAGCTGCTCCGCCACCTTCCTTCTTCCCTCCAGAGGAAGCCGTGCAAGGCAGGCAGGCAGGGGAGGGAGGGAGGGAGGCCATGGGCGCCTGCCTGGGAGTCCCTGTGGGGAGCACAGAGTGTTTTGCAAATCCCATGTCTCTTGGAACCGAGAGACACCACGGTGGGGGTGGAGAGGCCCCGAACCTGCCTTCCTTTTCTGGGAAGGTCCCAAGATAACCCTGGGGTGTTTCTAGAACCGCCAGACAGCCATCATCCGTCCAGAAGGGTACACGCGATGCATGGCAAAGGGGGGCACTTCTGACCCATCGCAGCTCAGGCCTCCCCTCCGCTTCTCCTTCCGCAGCCACGGACGGACGGACGGACGGAAGGGGGCAGCGCCTCCTGCCCCAGACCCTCCCCTCTCTGGCAGGTCTGCTAATCTGGTTCCCCCTCCGTCCTCCCACTTGAGATAACGCACAGACACACGGCCGCGCATGCACACACCCCCCCCCTCCAGGCAGCTGAGCCCTTCTCTGACAGCTTTCTCGGGAGAAGGCGACACAGATGGCGGGGAGGAGAGTCATCTGTTTTCCTTCCCCCTCCAAAAGACACTGTTTTCTCAGTGTTGGTTGTTTTCTCTTTTATCTTCCGTACACACACACACACACACACACACATCCCTCCACACCTCTGCACCAGCCCGACCACCCACACACCGACAGTCGCCCTGAGCAGACTCACACTCGCATCCTGGCACACGACACCCACGCAGGCCTCTCATGTGCCTCCAGAGAGGTTCGCAGTCATCTGTCATACTTTTAAGGTGCACAGCAGCACCGCCGCCGCTACCAACGCCCGCCCACCTCGCCCGCCCCAGCGCAGTCTATTATTACAGGCGCTGAGGCTCAGCATCGCCTTGGAAGGGGCCGTTCTTTGGGTGGAACAGCCAAGCCGTCCTGCCATCTGAGGCCCCTCGAGCCTCAGGCCCCTTCCCAAAGGCCCAACCCAAACCCAGAACCCGACGGCCCGCCACTTCCGTGCCCCAAATGTTCTGGCCTTTCCCTGGCTGGGGTGGCCCACAAAGACTCAGGCATCCGGCCCCTTCACCCTCTCTGGAGGCCAAGAAGGCAAGGTGCCCTTTGGATGGGTGGGCGGGTAGGGTCCAGCCCTGGACCTCATTCCCACCCCTCGCTACCGCTTTTCCTCTGCAGACAACCTCTCGTACATCGAGCACATCTTTGAGATCTCGCGCCGGCCCGACCTGCTCACCATGGTGGTCGAATATCGCACCCAAGTGCTGAAGATCTCCGAGGAGGACGAAGTGGACACGAAGCTCACCCGCATCCCCAGCGCCAAGAAATACAAAGGTCCGCCTCTTTTCCCTCCCAGCTTACCCCGCAGGGCACTGCTTCCCCCCCCCCCCCGTTTTATCACAGCAGTTGGACTGAGTGCCCCTGCCTTGAGCTGCTGCTCCTGGGAACCAGACCCCCCCCCCAAAAAAGGAGCTTTCCCCCAAATGTGCACTCCTGGGGCCCTCCGCAATCTGCTGGGGGAGGTAGTCTAACCTGCTTGCTTTTCTTTCTGCCCACAGACATAATCCGGCAGCCCTCCGAGGAAGAGATCATCAAACTGGCCCCGCCGCCCAAAAAAGCTTAAAGTAGGCGAGAAGGAGGAGGAGGAAGAGGAGGAGGAGGAGGAGGAGGAAGGGCACACGCTCCCAAGACCACCACCACCACCACTCTCTCCTCTTCTGCCTTCCATCTCCCTTTCTCAGTCTGGTTGGAGGGCAGAGGAGGAGTGGGGTGGGGAGCAGCCTTGGCTGTTAATAAAATCTTAACCCAAGTCCCTCCCTCCCTCCTCTGCCACCCGCCCCCCCCTCCCCACGGCAAGACCACTGTTCCAGGAACTGTTGCCTCTCCCTCTTTGGTCCCCACCTGGGATAGACACGGAAGCTCTCTTGAGAGCAGCTCAGCTATCTGAGCAGGGTTGGGTTGGGTTGGGTGGCCCCCCGCCCCCGGGGAGAAGCCAGAA